CTAACTTTTCTGAGCTAACCTCTTCCTCCGGGATAAACTGTTTCTTTTGTGTAACATCATAGAACATAGAACATAGAACAGTACAGCACAGTACAGGCCCTTCGGCCCACGATGTTGTGCCGAACTTTTACCCTAATCCTAAGGTCTATCTAACCTCCACCCCTACCTTACACTATCATCCATATGCCTATCTAATAGCCGCTTAAATGCCCCTAATGAGGCCGACTCCACTACCCTCTCCAGCAATGCATCCCACGCCCCTACAACTCTCTGAGTAAAGAACCTACCTCTGACATCTCCCCTGTATCTACCTCCACTCACTTTAATACTATGTCCCCTCGTAATAGGTACCTCCACCCTAGGAAACAGTCTCTGGCTGTCCTCTCTATCTACACCTCTGATCATTTTGTGCACCTCTATTCAGTCACCTCTCATCCTTCGTTGTTCTAAAGAGAAAAGCCCTAGCTCTCTCAACCTTTCCTTGTAAGACCTTCCCTCCATTCCAGGCAACATCCTGGTAAATCTCCTCTGCACCTTTTCCAATGCCTCCACAGCTTTCCTGTAATGAGGTGACCAGAACTGGACACAATACTCTGGATGTGGCTGAACCAGGCTTTTGTATAGCTGGAGCATAACTTCACGGCTCTGGAACTCAATCCCTCTATTAATGAAAACTAACACACCATACGCCTTCTTAACAACTCTATCCACCTGGGTGGCAGCTTTCAGGGAACTGTGAACATAAACCCCAAGATCCCTCTGCTCTTCCACATTGCCAAGAATCTTTCCGTTAACCCTGTATTCTGCTTTCAAGTTTGTCCTTCCAAAATGAATCACCTCACACTTTTCAGGGTTAAACTCCATCTGCCACTTCTCAGCCCAGCTCTGCATCCTATCAATGTCCCTTTGTAACCTAGAACAACCCTCCGCACTGTCCACAACGCGACCCACCTTCGTATTGTCCGCGAACTTACTAATCCACCCTTCCACTCCCTCATCCAAATTATTTACAAAAATCACAAATAGAAGAGGACCCAGGACAGATCCTTGTGGTACCCCACTCGTAACTGAGCACCATGTTGAATATTTTCCGTCCACTACCACCCTTTGTCTTCTAAGGTTCAGCTAATTCTGAATCCAATCTGCCACATTTCCCCCTGTTCCGTGCCTCCTTACCTTCCACATGAGCCTACCATGGGGAACCTTATCAAACGCCTTACTTAAATCCATGTGTACCACATCCACTGCTCTACCTTCATCCACGTGTTTGGTCACCTCTTCAAAGAATTCAATAAGGTTTGTGAGGCGTGATCTACCCCTCACAAATCCATGCTGACTATTACAAATCAAACTGTGCCTTTCCAAGTGATCATAAATCCTATCTCTTAGAGCGCTTTCCAATAATTTGCCAGATGTAAGACTAACTGGCCTATAATTTCCAGGGTTATCCCTATTCCCTTTTTTGAACAAGGGAATGACGTTTGCCTCCCTCCAATCGTCCTGCACTATACCCGTGGACAGTGAGGACGAAAAGATCATCGCCAAAGGCCCTATGATCTCTTCCCTCACTTCCCGTAAAATCCCATCAGGCCCTGGGGACATCTATCTTCAACTTCCTCAGAATTCCTAGCACATCTTCCTTATTAACATCAACCTTCTCTAGCCTACCAGCCTGTTACACACTGTCCTCCTTTACAACTAGGTCCCTCTCAGTTGTGAATACTGAAGAAAAGTATTCATTAAGGACCTCTCCTATCTCTTTAGGCTCCGTGCACAAATTCCCTTTACAATCCTTGATCGGCCGTACCCTTTCTCTGGTCATTCTCTTATTCCTGACGTATGTGTAAAAAGCCTTGGAGTTTTTCTTGATCCTATCTGCCAAGGTTTTCTCAAACCAAAAGCTTCCCAACCTATGGGTTTACCCCCAAGCAAAACAAAATCTCATTCTTCTAAATAAAAAGCAAGCTGATGCTTTTCAAAATTCACAAATTTAAAAGGCATCTGGATGTATATATGAATAGGAAGGGTTTAAAAGCATTTGGGCCAAATGGTGGCAAATGGGAACAGATTTATTTAGGATATCTGGTCGGCATAGACGAGTTGGACCAAAGGGTCTGTTTCAGTGTTGTACATTTCTATGACTCTATGACTCTAAAATTGATGCTGTTCATTCATAAAACTCCGTATTGCAAACAAATTTCCCTATCACTCCTGGAATTCCCTCTCTCATGTTGATTTTAAAAAAAACCATAGCTTCAGTAATATTGACAAGTTAGTCATTAAACTCACTAATACACAGAGATTAAAACATTGTGTTCAAACTTCAAACCGTAAAATAAATGAAATTACAATACCAATAAATCACACACCTCACATCGTATAGAGAACAGAATTACAGAGTGATCACAGCAACATTGTTATACTTGCCAAACATTACCAACTTTTGGTTGATAGTTTGATGCCCCCATCCTCTTCCCTTGAGTGGATCCAAGGACCTACTTAGTTTACAGTGGCTAATGAATAGAAGACAGAGAGCTGGGATAAGGAGGTATTTTCAGGATGGCAACCTGTAACTAGTGGTGTGTCACAGGGATCTGTGCAGGGTCCACAATTATGTACAATATACGTTAGTGAGCTGGATAGGGAAAGTGAATGTACTACAGTCACATTTGCAGTTGGCACAAAAATTGGTGAGAAAGCAAAGTGGTGAGGATAAAATAAAGAGTCTGCAAAGGGATAATAGCAGGTTAGGCAAGTGGGCAAAAAACTTGGCAGGTGGAATATAATGTTGGGAAATGTGAGGTTATGCACTTTGGCAGGAAGAATAGAGGAGCCAAATATTATTTAAATGACGAAAGACTGCAAAAAGTTACAGATCAGAGGAATTTGGGAATCTTTATCCACAAATCATAAAAAGCTAGCATTCAAGTTCACTGGGTAATGGGGAAAGCTAGTGGAATGTTGGCCTTTATTTCAAAGGGAATGAAATATAAAATTAGGAAGGTCTTGCTAAAACTGTATAAAGCATTAGTCAGACCACAGGTAGAATACTATGAAAAGTTGTGGGCCCTTGTCTAGGAAAATATATACTGGCATTGAAGGCAGTTTAGAAAAATTTCAGTGGCCTCTTACCAGGCATGGAGAGTCTGTCTTATGAGTCAAGGTTCAGTAGATTGGGCCTGTACTCACTGGAACATAGAAGAATGAAAGGTTGCCTTATTGAAACACACAAAATTCATCACAGACTTTGACAGTGTAAATGCAGTAAGGTTGTTTACCCTTGTGGGAGAGTAAGACAAAGCTAAGGAGGAATTTCTTCTCACAGAGGGCAATGAATCTATGGAATTCTTTACCATAGGGAGCTGTTGAGAGCAGTGCAAAAATCGAAGGCATTTCTTATGCACAATAGTATTTGCATACATTGATTCAACGAGAGGGTCTGATAATTTGTTCTCTCTGAATTTTTTTAAATTTCAAAAATATACTTTAGTCATAAAAAATCTCGATATATAGTCAGAAGTCACATGACACCAGGTTACAGAAATTACAAGCATTTGGAGCATAGCCCCTTCGTGTACATTGGCACAAATTCAGTTTGGTTCTGTAAGGTTGCATATCAAGTAAACAAACAAAACATTGGACTTTGACTCTATCCCCAAAACCAGAGAACTCTCTTGTACATACGCTACTAATATTTACATCTATTTCAGACACTTGGGAAGACCCAATAACTAAACAGACCCCCAGCAGGAAGACGTCAGACCATGGTCTTTCCCCACTGTGCCTTGGTGACAGCTGCCCTGAGCTTTAGTGTGTCCCTCAGCACATAGTCCTGGACCTTGGAATGTGCCAGTCTGCAACACTCAGTCAGGGTCACCTCCTTGTTCTGGAAAACCAATAAGTTTCTGGCAAACCAAAGAGTGTCTTTCACCGAGTTGATAGTCCTCCAGGCGCAATTGATGTTTGTCTTGGTGTGCGTCCCAGTGAACAAACTGTCGAGCACAGAGTGCTCCATCACAGAGCTGCTCAGGACAAACCATGACACAAAGCACTGCATCTTTCTTTAGATTTCCTCTCTCTGATGGAAAATAGTCATTTACCCCCATGTAGATCAAATAGTTTTTCCCAGCCACATCCAGCGGCTCCCCCAGCCAGAAGGAATCTCATCTTTAAGTCATGTAAACTAAATGCAAAAGGTACTAAACTTGCACAAATCTAGGTCCCCTTACTGACTTGTGTGGCTGCTCTACAGTGTGTTTAGCACTGAGCTGCACGCTATAATAATTTTGATGAGCAGGCAGCAATAAGTTTGCATTGTGTCTCCATTAGAAGCAATTATTGTAATCTAATCCTATGTCATACTCTTTTATTGCCTGTTTTTGGGGGCTATCCAGTTTTGCACCTTCAAATTCCCTGGCTATATATGGAAGTTAAAAAGGAATCAGCCAGGGTGCCTTGCCCTGATGACTTCTAACAAGGCCTTGTTGTAAAATATATTTCTGTGGAAATTAGAAATTTATGGATCTTATATCCACATTGGCCAAGTTGTGACATTATATGAAGATGAGAGGAGCAGCTAATTAATTTGCTAATGGGCCACCAAGACTATCGTTAGACAAATAAGTCGTGGATGCAGTCATAGAAAAGAACTACAGGATGACCAAAACTGTAAATGAAGTGAAGATGGGATTGATGAGCAGATATAGAAAATCGTTAGAAAACAGGCTAAGAGTCACTCAGGAATGTTGCAGTTTATATCAAAGGGCTTAAATACAAAAGCAGCGGTCACGATCTCTATCCTAGACAGCGCGTTAATAGTTCTGGAGAGAGAGTTGAGAGGTCTGAGGGAAAAGCAACCAGGGCACCTTTTTCTCAAACTGTAAAGATCGGGCAAAGACTTGACAGATCTGATGAAGTCTCTTCGACTAGACAAGCTGCTTAATAAACATACTGCATTAAGATCAGTCTTCCCTTTCCTCAACTGTTCATTACTGTTCTAGGCAAACCCAAAGGAAATGTGTACCAGCCAACTGCACCTGAATGCCCTGGAAATTATTCGGAAGAAGCGGGATAAACAGACTTTGACCAAAGAAGAAATCCATTACTTTGTGAAAGGTGTAACAGAGGAAAGCATCCAAGACAGCCAGATAGGTAACAGATACAGATGTGTTTTTTTCCTTCTGTATTTTTAATTGTGTAAAAAATACTTTTGTTTTTTGGACTGTGGACTTAAAAATAGAAGCAGATACTGCTTTAAGCCAAGGGACTTCAGAAGAAGATAATGGTGCATGAACAGGTGAGAATTGGTATATCTGCAATATGTGTCCTCCTTGAAATGTTGAAAGGAAGCAAAAAGAGAACTGAAGGAAAATATCTCATTGATGGCTGTCATCTGGACTGGTGGCAGAACCATTCTTCACTAGGTTTTGTTTTAATTCTTTCTCATCTGTGATATTTGTGTCTTGTCTCTTTGCATGTCTTTTTCTATGTGTATGGTAATTTTTTAAAGGAATAGAATTTAAGTTATAGAGAATTATAATCATGTTTCTTTTCCACTCCCAGTTAAAACAACCAGTTTCAATAATTGGCTATTTTCCTGTTAAGCACAGAAATCTGATAGGATGTTCTCTCTTAACCTACGTTTGTCAATCAGGTAAAATGGGAACTTTAGATAGCTCAATTGATTATGTTTACTTTTGAGATGACTCTAGGAATAGTGATGGTTGATGTTTAGCGTGCTACCCAAGTGAGTCATGCCAATTATCTTGAATCTCTATGTACGACTTCTACAATGTGACAAGTTTGTGTCTAACAGATGAGCACATTGGAATTCATCTGATATCTTCAATACATGTGCTGGCTCATGCTTAACTGAGCTTACTCCAGTACGGTCTCAAACATCATCAGTGCTCAATCTGTACTGAACTCAAGCAGCAAAAACTACAAACAGCGTTTGAACCAAAGTGGAGAGTAGGGAATTTAAACAGAACCCTAGTCTTATTGGGCATTCAGGGACTCTCAGATGGGAATAGGAGATCATTCAAGTACTAGATCCTGTGAGATAGGAAGAGGAGGAGACCATTCAACCACCCAAGCCTGGTCCATCATGTGATCATGATTGATCAGTCCCACAACCTCATTTTTACGCTTTTGTTCAATAACCCTTGATAAAGGGTTCCGAATACCTGCCCGAGACAAGAGAATTCCAAAGCTCTGTATACCCTTGGATTATTTTACTCCTAGCTGTAGTATTAAAATAATTTTTTTCCAAATTGCCCCAGCAGAGGGAAAGGCTTCTTAAATCACCAAGTCGTGATGCCCATCTCTATGGCTAGCTAAACATTCCCTGTGCACACTTACGTAAAATGTGGGTATTTGCATGAGCTTCTGTGTGAATGTAGTGAGGGCCATCAAACGCAGTAAACCACTTCAATTCATCAGTCATCACAATAATTACAAAGGTCTTGCGAAACAGAAAGAAAAAGATGGGTCAGAAAGGGAAGAAATATTATTATCCCTTCAGATTACAATTAATATGGATGTTTAGTACAGAAGTCAATGTTAGATTTAGGAATGTAATGATAAATACTCTGGAAAGATTTTAAGTATCTGCCTCGATTACTCAATGAATATAAATTCTGCAAATATAAGTCACTAGTGGTTCATGGTGGGTCGCCTGTTGTTTACAAAATGCAAGTGTTACCTAACTGATTTCATATGGATCTGTTAATTCAAGGTTTGTTTTCCAAATGAAAAGCTATGCGTTTTGCATGCTTTGTTTTCAGTGTTTGATTTAGGATGATAGTAAACGAGAGAATAAAGAAGTGGAGCTTTGGAGACTTCAGTGAAAATCAATTTTAGAAAAGCATGTAACTCATTGAAAACAAACAAGTATTGAAAAAAAAATCATTGAATCCCTACAGTGCAGAAAGAGGCCATTCAGCCCATCAAGTCAGCACCGATCCTCTGAAGAGCATTACACACAGCCCAGCCACCCCCACCCCATCCCTGTAATTCTGCATTTCTCACAAACAGTCCACCTAATCTGCCTATCATTGGCAACAAAAACAAAGTTGCTGGAAAAGCTCAGCAGGTCTGGCAGCATCTGTGAAGGAGAAAACAGAGTTAACGTTTCTGGTGGCCCTTCCTCAGAACCCTATCATTGGATTGTGGGAGAAGAAAATGGTCACGGTTAATCTAAAAGACAAACTACTGTAACTCCCAGTTCATAGGCATGCAGCCCCTTGGCTTTACCATTACATTGTAAATTAACTTCAGAGAGTTTGTAAAACTTAATACAACTGAAGAATCATAATTTATTCCTGTGGCTCCAATCATTGATCTTTTACTTATTCACTCATTGGATGTGAGTGACAATGACTTGATCAACTTTTATTGCCCCTCCCAAATTGCCCTTGAGAAGCTGGTGATGAAATATCTTCTTGACCTGCTGCAGTACCTGTGTTGTAGATACACCCACGATGCCATTAGGGAGGGAGTCACAGTATTTTGACCCAGTGACACTGAATGTACGGCGATATATTTCCAAGTCAGGATGGTGAGTGACTTGGAGGGAAACTCGTGGGTGGTGGCTTTCCCACGAGTTTGCTGCCCTCGTTCTTCTCAATGGTAGTGGTTGTGGGTTCGAAAGGTGTTGTTTAAGGAGCATTGGTGAATTTGCCTCTAGGATGGTGGGATAATGAATATTGCTGGAGATTCCAGGCGGGGAACAGAATGTGATCTCGTTTTTAGTAAAGATTGCCTTGCTGTGTGGGCCAAATTAGCGTTCTGAATAATGAACTGAATCTTCAGGGCTGATTAATATCTTCATTGTGCTGTACCCTTTTCCTTTGCTTTATACTAAACCAGAAGGAGAGTAGTACATTGTCTTTAGTTTAAAGATATTGGTCCGAATATTCCAATTACCAATGGAACAGATTTGACCAATCATGATCCTCTTTAAAATCACCCACTTACCTGTTGGTGATCTTTCTGGCAAGATTCTAAATCTGGCCTGTCCCAAATGCTTTCATTGGATGAAACCAGGGAGAAATCCAGTTCGAATAAGAGTAACATTGTAGGCAAGATGTATGACATTATGACATTTGCCTCTTGTTTCAGAACTCAAGGCCCCTCAAGGGGTTGTTTCAGGTTGAATAGGGTCAGTTTGGGATGAGCCTCGGAGGGGTCATTTCTACAGTGCAGTCCTGGGCTGGGCCAGGATTAGGGTAGATGCTGTCAGAGGTGTTTGGGGGATGTTAAAACCCAGGCCGAATTATTTCTTCCTTTATCCTTTCAAGGGAAGTGGGTGTCATGGGAAGTGGGTGTCATAGGCAAGGCCAGCAGCCTTAAATTCCCTTAAACTGAAGGGTTTGCTAGGCCATTTCAGAGCACAGTTAAGAGGCGACCATATTGCTGTGTGTTTGGAATCACATGTAAGCCAGACCAGGTGAGAATGAGACACTACCTTCCCTTAAGGATATTAGTGAACCGGATGGATTTTCTCTTTGTCAGGCGCTATGCTGATGGCAATTCGTCTACAAGGAATGACACAGGAGGAAACAGTGAATCTGACCCAGGAGATGAAAGCGTTTGGTGCCACCCTGCAATGGCCGAAGGAGTGGTCCGGGTTGGTAGTTGACAAGCATTCGACAGGAGGAGTCGGGGACAAGGTCAGCCTCATTCTTGCACCAGCACTGGCTGCATGCGGTTGCAAGGTAAGGAGAGTAGAGATACAAGACGTGTTGATTCAATTAGGATCGGGTCACAGAGTTTTGGATGAGCTAAAGGTTGGAGAGAATGGGAGGAGAGAGACCAGGCAGGAGATGGTCACGTCTGGAATGAATACAAGCAAGGATGTGGGCTTTAGCAGCACATAGCCTGAGGCAGCGGCGTCACAGAGGTGGAAATAGGTGACCCTGGTGTGGGAGAGTCAGATCTTCAATTCAGGGTCAATTAGCATAATAAAATTGCAAAGGGTTCGATTCAGCCTCAGACTATGGGATGGAGGTGGTCGATGGGGAGAAGTGGTTGTCATGGGAATGAAAGGTAATGACTTCAATTCTTTTCCAAATTTTAGCTGGAAAAAATGATGACTCATTGAGGATTAGGTGTCAGATCGGCAGTGCGAGAACTCAGAGACAGTGGAGAGGTTGAGAAGTAAAGCTGGCTGTTATCAAACTAAGGTCTCAGCTGTCCCCTTGGGTGGATGTAAAAGATTCCACAGAATTATTCATTGAAGAGCAGGGGAGTGATCCCCAGGTTTCTGGCTGATGTTTATTGCTCATCCTACATTTAAACAATAAGATCACTTGACACCAAATTGCTGTTTGTAGGACCTCGCTGTGTGCAAATTGCATGTTGTGATTCCTACATTACAAGTAATTCACTGTAATTAAGTATTTGGAATAAGAAGTAATAAAAGACTAAGTAATTGGCTTTGGAGCATTCTGAGGTTATGGGAAGCACTATCAAAAAGCATGTTTTTTATTTTTATTTAATGTCCAAGTTGTTGTTGTTGCTGTGCAGGTTCCAATGATCAGTGGGCGGGGCTTGGGGCACACTGGAGGCACACTGGATAAACTGGAATCTATCCCAGGATTCAACATTAAGAAGAATCCGGAAGAGGTAATATTTGGAGAGGTTAATTCTGTCATTGTGAGTTACCAAAGGCCACGTAATCTCAGTTTTGCAAAAGAGTAATATTCAGACTCAAACCATTAATTCTGTTCCTCTCTCCACAGGTACTGTCAGACCAGCACAATATTCTCAACACTTTCTGCTTTTATTGCAAAATATTTGCTTCTTGTAGATGCCTTTGGTCAAGCGTCAGGTAGAATATTCTGAGATAACGAACTACCGATACTGGAGTCTGAGATAACAAGGTGTGGAGCTGGAGGAACACAGCAGCTCAGGCAGCATCAGAGGAGGAGGAAAGTCGATGTTTCGGGTTTACACCCTCCATCAGGTCCAATTGTTATTTCCTCCAGTTTTGACAGATGATAATGACACTCTGGAAAGGTTGCTTGGCTGTCTCTATGGAAGTGGTGGTGGCTGCCTTGAGGGTCCAGGTCCAGCAGAAAGTTTAGTGATTGTCAGATATGTGCTCAGACCTGCACTCCAGCCAAGCATCAATGGCCAGTCAAAAGGGGGACAAAGCATCCTTACCTCACACCCATTCTTCCCAAGAAGACAGGGTGCCACCAGCAAGTACCCACAGAGCAGGAGCAACAGGCAGACACCCTGGGATCTTCATTACAGGACACTCCAGAGGTGCCCTGACCCTCCACTTGCCCTCTGTCAGTGACCCCATTGCCTGCAGCAGATCAGGCTGAGTAGGGTAGACTGGCACCTTTACAGGAGGTTCTCACTAGCCTGGGGCCACAGAGAATGCCTCCCAAATTCATCCTAGGACCTGCCAGGTATCGGGCTCCCTCAACCTCGGCTGCAGATGTTAGAATCACATCCAGACGTAGCGTTAGGCAAAGGAAAAATAAATTGTTTTAAGGGCTCCTCAGTCGCATCTGTGTTTTATTAATCTGTAAAAATCTTACAGATGTAAAGATATCTTTCACTGTTCCAATGTTTCCTGTAGCCTCATTTCCCCAGTGGGTGCCTACATGGTTATCTGAAGTGAAAGCAGTATCCACCATTACCAGGAGATGCTGTTCTTCCCTTGGGACACCTTTAAATGTCTTGCTGCATCTATGACGTGTATACCTACATGCCCTCTTGTAAGCCAGCAAGCTATGGACTTAGTAGTTGGGCAGTGCAGTCAAAGCTCCAGCAGTTCAGCAACTCACAGGCTGTATCCCATCAGTTCAGCAACAGTTAAGCCTGGGATAGCCTTATAGCAGGCTCTGTACAGGATATTTATGAAAACCATGCAGAGAAGTGACTGGCAGCTACAGACAAGTAGGAGTTGAATATCTTTTCCCTGATGGGAATTTCCATTGCTGGGCCTGTTCTCTCAGTATATGCCACAGGTAGGGGTGACTCTCACCATTCCTTGGCAGGAATCGTGGGAAGTGTTAGCATTTGTGCAGCTCTTGATACAGAATCTCACTTACTGAGAAAGCACAGCCATTGCAACAGTACAGTTCCTAACATTCTATTGGACTTCAGGGAGAGACAGAAGAATGGGACTAATGACATCCCAAGGAAGCTTTCTTCAGAGGAAGTGCTCCCTAATCAACCTTCTCCTTAATGGAAGCATGGCCCAGAATATTGCAACACCCTGTGGGCCTCTCTTTGCAAAAGTATTCATGGTGTTACAGCCACAATTAAATATTAAATAAACCACCATTTCCATGAAGACAGCCAGGCAATCTTTCCAAAGTGTCATTATCATCTGCCAAAACTGGAGGAGACAAAAACTGGACGGAATATTTCAGTGTGATGTTAATGTAGAGCCTAGAGGTGTCCCGATGAAGGGTTTCGGCCTGAATCATTAACTTACCTGCTCCTCGGATGCTGTCTGACCTGCTGTGCTTTTCCAGCCTCACACCTACAGACTCTGGCTTCCAGCATCTACAGTCCTTATTGTCTCTGTATACTGTGGAAAGCTCTGCCTGGGCATTTACTGCATTGCAGTGGGTGACTGGACCAGGTACCTGAATCTCCCCTGCAGGATCCTTGTGGTGTGTTCTACAATGGCCCTTGTAGAAGCATGTGCAGAGTTGTGACTCTCCTCAGGGGGTCAGTCGGTGGGTTCCTGATTTGCTCTATGAGCCAGAGTTTGAGGTCTTATTGCTGACCAATCATTCCTGTATATGCCGAGGGTCTGAAAGATGCAGGCACCTGTGAGTGACCACATCATGACAGCTGTCTGCTTAATGTGAGCACCCCTACATTATTTGTCTGCTATGATCACAGATGATTTGCACATTCTCAATTCAGGATAGTCCCTGGACTATCAGAACAAACCAATTGTTGGTTTATCCTTGCAGCCCTTTTGCAGTTCAGTGCTGTTCAGACATTGCTATTGTCTGATACCCATTTTCATGTTTCTGTTTGGCCATAAGCACCCCTTTGTAATGTGTGCTAAAGCCTGGCCTTCAGCCAGAAGCTGCCTCTTGTTTGCCGTGTGCCAACTGAGCTTAGAAATGACCAAGAGAGACAGGCTGCCTTTGTCCACTTGGACTTACTGACTTCACTTCGAGAAGAGAGAGGGGAAGTGACTATAAGTATCAAATTAAACCCATGTTACAATGTGGACAAAGCAGCAAAACTTCTTCCAAGGTGGATAAAGCAATGCAGCTTGCCAGATACATACGTACCTTTTGCTGCTGGCTTTCTGAAGCATTGAGTTTCTTGACTGGGTAGAGATTAATTTGGAAAGCAAAGTTAGTTCCAGCGTGTTGTGGTAGGAATGGATATATGCAAGTAGCACCTGCTGGTGACAGACTTGACCCACCATCCGACGGGGGAGAATTGCTGACTTTTATCTCAGTGGTGAGAACATGATCTGTTTTACCTCTTACCCCCACCATTCTGATCGCCATGCCAGGGATTGGAAAATCCCACCCTTTGACCCATTGAGTCACTGTGTTAGTGAGATCAAGAGTGGACAAGAGTCACATGTAGACCAGAATGTGTGGGGTGACAGGGTCACTCCCTGATGGACAATCATGACACCAGTTAGTTGAGTGACCAACTAAACAGTGACTCTGTATAGTTACACAGTGAGTGACCATCACCCTGAATAAACAGGAACTCTGTACAGTTACACAGTGAGTGACTCTCACCCTGAATGCACAGAGACTGTACAGTTATAGTGAGTAATTCTGTCTGAGCTCATTTGGCCCAATGCACTGGTGATATAATCAAACTGATTTTTGGATGTCTTTACCTGTGACTTTAGATGAAGACTATCTTGTCAGAGGTTGGTTGTTGTATTGTCGGGCAGACGGCTGAGCTGGTGCCAGCTGATAAGAAGCTTTATGCTATCAGGGATGTGACATCGACAGTGGACAGTCTGCCTCTCATTGCAGGTTAGTGCGTATGAATTAGTAAACATCAAAGGTAGGTAAGTGACCTCAGCTCAGTGGGATTGTTTGCTCAATGGGTGATACATAAATCAAATCTAGTAATGTGACAGCCCTGGATCATGACTGAGCAACCCTCAGCAAACAGAGGCCCACAGGGTGTTGCCTCCTCAACTCAAACATTCAGAATCCTCCCACTTCTACAACTCCAATCCTGCCTCTAGCAAGTCTCCTATTTTCTGCCCCATAGTTTTCCTCCTAGAGTAAATCTTGGGCCAGTTTATTACATAGAAGGTACTGTATGAACAGGAACTTTGGTCAACATCTCTCAGGTCCTCCCTTCTAATTGGAACCAGAAATGCCTGTTTGGCCCATCAAGTCTTCCCCGTCAATTCGTTAACCATTGGAGCTCTTAAATCTCTCTACTTCATTCCTTGGTGTCACTCCAATTCTTGGATAGCTTTAATCCTCAATTAAATATCCTAACTAAATAGCTCAAGAGAGTGTGTAATCATAGTCCCCTGAAACAATGTGTCCCACCTTCACATACCGTGTGACAAAAACTCTCCCGGATTCAAGTTAGCTCCAATTCGATGAATGTTTTTTTTCTAGATTCAGTAATAACGGGGAAACTTTCCTGGCTCTCCTGCTGATCTCCATCATAACCTTAATCACCTGAATTAGATTACTATTTAACCCCTTAACTCCCAGATAATATGACCCAAGAGTCACCCCATTGCTCATTATCAGTCACCTTCCTCACCCCCACCCAATTCTAAAATCCTTTCAATCGTAGCTACCATCCTGATGAATCATACCAGACTTCCTTTGAGTCTAGCATCTCCATCTTATGGTGAGTCGCCGAAACCAAACAGAAAACTCCAAATGCAGCCTGTCCTGATTATCTACAGTCTGAGCTATTGCCTTCGTAGCCTGATCTTCTTGTGTCAAAGCTCAAAGACACAGTACTCTTTCTCAGCATTTCTTCTGTGGAACATATCTCCAGCATATTTTGTTTTATTTATTTTGTAGTTTTCTCAGCAGTTCAGGGAAAACAAATGTCATTGTCAAATTTACTTTGGCAGTAAGTGCAGGCCTAGCCAGTAATGGTGACATCCCATGAAGCAATATTAAAGAGAGCTGGAACCGAGCTTCGCTGAGCTTGGACAACAAGCAGTTATTGTGAGGAAGGTTCAGCTGTTTTCAGTAAAATGCAGTTTCTGATTTTCAGCCTCTATCATATCAAAGAAAGCAGTGGAGTCCCTTCACGGTCTGATTCTGGATGTGAAGTATGGAGAAGGAGCTTTGTTCAAGGAGATCGATGGAGCAAGAGAGCTGGCACAATACCTGGTCAGTAGATGGGAAAATATCTTATTTTTATTCTTATCCCAGACCAACATCTGTAGTGGAAAGGAGTTGTATTTGGTACAGTGTAATGAGGTAGACTCTGGGATCACTGAAATTCAAAAAGTGATCTTGCTTAAAAAGGCTGGTGACCCCTGCTATAAGGGAAAGACGGAATGGAGAGGCTGGGACTGGGGATTGGCTGAGAGTTATCCCCTTTCCACTGACACACGTAGATGTTGGTGAGTTAAAGGTTACAGATTCTTTGCTCAGAAAATATAGAATAAACAATTTATTTTAGTACTGTATAGCTCTAAAACCGAGAATTCATTTTGTTCTCTGCCCACGGTCTCAGTGTGACACCTGTGACTGCACATTATCTGCCAGTGCCTTTAAGTCTGGGTTGTAGTTTGAGTCTGCTAGTTGTATACAGTCCAGCAAATGGGTATCTGTGAGGTGGGTCTGATCCTTGGACTTCATTATCGTCATTTGGGAGAATACTGTCTCACAGAGGTATGTGAGTCAAAGGAAGCTTTCACTTTAAAGGCACAGGATTATAGGAATGGGTATTTTTCTCAGTTTATAAGTCCCACAAAATCACCGTCCCTTGTTCTGACTTTCAGCTCAATATTATTTTGCACATTAATTATCTCCATTTCAACTGCACTGCTTTGTAAGTCAACCACCTGATGGAACCACTGAACCACCAGTGTTGGCTTGAAGGGATGGAAAAACATGTGTGACAAGCATGATATGCTGGTGATAGGATATTGCAGTTTTATTCTCAGGAGCCATAGAGGGGATTTTTTTTTTCCATCTAACATAGAATGAATCTACAAAGCTTCCTGTCCTTACTTCTTGCCCAGCGAATATTGGCATCCCAATGCTCAACAGGTTTTGTAACTACTGATCTTTCCTTGGTGCCCTGAGCGTATAGTTTACTCTGCTTTGAGTGTCTGAGTGACAGATTAATATAATTTGTTTTAAAACCTTAGGTAGATGTTGGAAATCACTTGGGAATTCGAACAGTTGCTGCTCTCTCCAGGATGGATAATCCCATTGGGAGATGTGTTGGGAACTCATTGGAAGTCATTGAATCCATTGAATGCCTGGAGGGGAATGGACCCAAGGACTTGGAGGAACTGGTCACCTGCTTAGGTCAGTCCTTCACCAGAACCTGCATCCAATGTGTAAGTGATGGATAGTATGGATAGTCAAAGATGGCCCTTGAATGAGAATCAAAAACAGAACTTGCTGGAAAAACTCAGCAGGTCTGGCAGCATCTGTGGTGAGAAATCAGAATTAATGTTTCCAGTCCAGTGACTCTTCTTCAGAACTGATGGTAGCTAGGAAAAGATTCATATTTATTCAGAAGATAGGATAGGGGGAGGGGGAGGAATAAGCGATAGGTGGAGATAGAGCCCAAAGAGAGAGAAAAACAGTTTGGCTGATAAACGAGTGGATACAGTTTAGCCGAGGAGAATGAATGGCTACTAATGGGGACCATTCATGACTGACAATAGATTATTGTGGTGGCATCCCATTCGAAGACAAGAGAGACAATGAATGAGAATCATCACCTGAGCCATCAGTGCTAATCTTCCCACAGTGCCATTTCATGACCACCTCTTTTTATAGAATCTTGTTCCTCCAACCCAAAATCTGCATAGTTTTGCTAAGTTCCCAGGTTTATTAATATCACAATCCCTCTACCTTTAGGTACTGATCCAGTTCCTTCTTGAAAGCATCAGTTATTCAATCTGTTATTTTTTAGCTAATATTCTAATGGAAACACTCTTCCAATGTCCAATTTTCAGTGAGTTTTGTGATGATTCTAATTGTCTGCTGAGGTTCAGGTGGTCTTGGTGCCAGTTGATCTCAGACACAGTTAATGCAATCCTGAGCCCAGTTTGGGAATGGAGCTGCTTGTTGTCTTAGGATGTGGCCTGAGTTGGAGCAGTTTAACTATGAAAAGAGGCTGGCTAGGCTCAGGTTGTTTACTTTGAAGCCAAGAAAGCTGAGGGGAGACCTGATTATGGGATATAAGACTTTGAGGGGCATGTACAGGGTGGAGGGTGAAGCAGCTGTTCCCCTTAGTTGAAGGGTCAGTAACAAGGGGCCATAATTTTAAGGTGAAGGGAAGGAGGTTTAGAGGGGACTTGGAGAAACATGATTTTATCCAGAGGGTGGTGGGAATCTGGAATGCCCTGCCTGGAAGAGTAATAAAAGTGGTAAACCTCACAATCTTTAAAAAGTATGTGAATAAGCACCTGAAATATCATAACATTCAAGGCTGCAGGCCAAATGCTGGAGAGTGAGATTAGTATAGATAGGTCGGCACAGATTCAATAGGCCAAATAGTCTCTGCTGTGCTGTATGACTCTATGACTCAGTGCCATTATGTTAGAAAGTAAACAGTGAGAAGGGACATTGTAAGAAGGCTTTGGCTTTTACTGTGTATCTTATAAACAATGGGGAACCATACTCCAAATGTCTGGATTGAATAGATCCATGAAGGTGCTCAGGTAGTCCCTTTTGGCTGAATGCAAAAGCTTAAGCCAAGGGTTGGGCAGTGAACAAATGTGCCACACAATAAAAAACTGGGTCAAAAAGACCAGGAATATCCCAGCCAATTCACTGGTCTCAGCTTGGTCAGTGTTGGGATTGATAACGATGGTCTCAGTGTCACTGGATTACAATGTCTTTAATTGTCTGGAGTTCCTGCATTTGTTTGTGAGATGATGGAGTTTGCTGGCGACTGTAGATGTTTGGAGTCAGCCTTATAAAGCTTAAATGAATATCCTTGTAACCTGGGGCATTTCCACAGTGCCATCTGTACTCAGAGGGTGGCAAGGTAGAGATGAGTCTTAGCCACTTACAGCAAACAGGCTGGAAGGCACTTGTGTATTCACAACACACTGGTAACTTAGGAATATGTTTCTTTCCACCTTCAATAGGAGGCCACCTGCTACATCTGTGTGGAAAAGCTGAGAGTTTCAAGGCTGGAGAAAAGGCCATCAAGGATGTGTTGAAAAATGGCAGTGCCCTGGACAAGTTCCTAGCTATGCTAGTGGCCCAGGGAGTGACGACTGACTTTGCCGAGTATCTGTGTCAGGGGAAAGAGATCCTTAAACGTGCCGCGAAACAGGAAGAACTGAAGGCCGAGGCTGAAGGTATTTCTTTACATTGTGACTGAGAACAACGGCACAGACTCCAGCTAATTCAAATGAATAGTATTGTGTTCAAAAGCAGAAGTTGCTGGAAAAGCTCGGCAGGTCTTGGCAGCATCTGTGAAGAGAACATCAGAGTTAATGTTTTGGGTCTGGTGACCCTTCTTCAGTATTGTGATGATGGTCCAGATAGTTTATCCAAAAGGCTATAAAGTGTGAGAGTCTCAATTTCCGATCGATCCTACAATGATTTAAGACTACAGTGTGGGGTGCATTAGTATCCGTGAGTGCTCTCTAAGGACGAGGTAATTTCATCCTCCCAACCCCCACCCACCCACACACTATATATTGGCTCTACATTGAATGTGGGCTCAACTTCCTTGCCACTCATATTTGGAAGGGACCAGATATATTCACTGTCCAGACGTGGCCTCCTGTGAACTTTACCTAGAGGCTGGAGGAGAAGGCAGCAAAGAAAAAATGCCTTCTATGCCTAAAAGGTTTTATCTGCATAGTAATATTTTCTACTCAGCCTTATTTGACAGTGTATTTCCCACAAAGACAGTGCTTGATGAACAAACCTGAGAGGTATTTGAGAAGACCTTGAGCATCAATAATATCCAGATAGCTTTCCATTCCTCTGTCCTTAAAGCAAGTGAAAATTGGACACTGTGAATATTTACACATAGCAGTCCTGATAATGGCCATTTCATCACAGTTAAAGGATCTTACATAACTGGATGTCTCATTGTAACTTTGGCATTAAAAAGTGAAGAAAAATTCCACAATTATTCCCTGCATTGTCATAGATATTCAACCTCAACTTTCCCATTTTGCTTTGTCCATTGTTGTGTTGATATCCTGAAACCCCAAGGGCTTTGGAAGAGCTTTATTCAGGGAATAATAAAACCCGAATGCTGGAAATACTCAGCAGGCCAGGCAACAATCCTTTGCCTGGCTGATCCTGTTCTCATCTTGAACAACTTTGCTTTCAAGCCTTTTCACTTATTGAGCTAAAAGATGTTGTTATGTGTATCCAAATGGATCTTAGCCACACTTGTCCTTTTGTGAAATGTGTAGAACCTCCCTTGCTTCAGTCTTTCTCAGATCCTTTGCTTCATCTTTTCTCCTGATAGATCGATGCCTGCATTGGTGCTGGCCCTGACCTGGAAAATACCATCAACTTTGCTTCCAGTTTCTACCCTTGGCCCATCCCTGGCTTTTCTCTCCCCTCCCTCAAGTTCTCTGTTTCCATTTCTGCCAATATTATTATTTTTGTTGCATAAACAATAAGTCAACAGACTCCCTCAGGTACTTTGGTTACAGTTCCTCACATCCCATTTCCCGTAAGGATTCCATCTCCCAGTTTGTTGCTAGGGTAGTACATGTACCAGAACAACGGAGATAGCAAGAATTGCAGATGCTGAAGTCAGAGTCAATACAGGGTGGAGCTGGAGGAACACAGCAAGCCAGGCAGTATCAGAGGAGCAGGAAAGTCAGCGTTTCGGGTTGGGACACTTCCAAAATGTTGACTCGCCTGCTCCTCTGATGCTGCCTGAACTGCTGTGCTCCTCCAGATCCACACTGTGTGTACTGGAACAACTTGGCTACGGATGCAGCAAGTTCTGGAGCACAAGTCTTCAATACAGTTTCCTGAATAAAATTAGGGCCGATAGCCTTTCCAGCATCCAGTGCCTCCAACCATTTCTTGATATCACGTGGAGTGAATTAAGTTGGTTGAAGACTGGCATCTGTGATGCTGGGGACTTCTAGCTGACAATTGTTGCAAATGCTTCAGCCTTATGTTTTGCATTGAGGTGCTGAGCTCTTCCATCATTGAGATGGGAATATCTGTGGAGCCTTCTCCTCCAGTGAGTTTTTTAATTGTCCATTACCATTCGTAACTGGATATGACAGGACTGCAGAGCTTAGATCTCATCTGTTAGTTGTGGAATCATTTAGTCCAATCACTTGTAGATTATGCTGTTTGACACTTCATTTTTAGGTGCTTCTCCTGGCATGCCCTCCTGCACTCTCTCCATTGAATCAGGGTCAATCCCCAGGCTTGATGGCCATGGTTGAGTGGGGGGATATGCCAGGCCATGAAGTTAAAGACTGTGCTGCAGTACAATTCTGATGTTGATGGTCGACAGCACTTTATGGATGCCCAGTCTTGAATTGTTAGACCTATTGAATTTTAATCCTGTTAAACACACTGATCCTGTCACACATGATGGAGAGTCTCCTCAAAGTGAAGATGGGACTCCATCTCCATAAGGACTGTGTGTGGTAAATCCTGCCATAATGTCATGGACAGATGTATCTGGGCAAATTGGTGAGGATCAAGTCAGCTACATTTTTTCCCCTCTTTTTGGTTCCCTCACCACTTACCAAAGACCCAGTCTAGCAACTATGTCATTTAGAACTTGATCAACTCAGTAGACACACAGATACCTTCTGTACCTTGCCACCCTCAGTGCTTCCTCCAAGTGGTGTTAAATAAGGAGGAACACTGATTCATCAGCCGAGGGTTTGGGGTGTGGGTGTGTGGTGGGTGGTTGCGGTGGTACATGGTAATCAGCAGGAAGCTTCATTGCCCATTTTTGACCTGATGCAATAAGATATTATGAGGTCCAGAGTCAATATTGAGGCCAGGGCAGCTCCCTGCCAACTGTGTTCCATTGTGTCACCATCTTTGCTGTGACTCCTGTACCTGAGGAACTCCTACAATCATGGCCTGGAGCTGGGTTGAGCTCCAACAACCACAACTATTTTCCTTTGTGCGAAGTAGAACTCCAATCAGCAGCGTTTTATCCCAGATTCTATTGACTTCAGTTCTGCTAGAGATCTTCAATGCCATATTCGGTCAAATGGCTTCTTGATACCAAGAGCAGTCACTGTGACCTCACCTCTGAAGTTCCATGTCTTTTGTCCATGTTTTGGATCAAGGCTACAATGTGGTGTTCATTCATTCTGCCATTCTCACTTGCTTTAGAAATCTTTTGTGCTTCACTTGTCCCATTTTCACTTCCATTGGCCCTGTCCTGCCACACCCTTTGTCATTTAATTTCTTCTGTTCCCCACCCTGTTAGACCTTCTCTTTGTTCTTATTCACAGCCCCTCACCTTTCATTTGTTTAAAACCTCTTACATTTGAAACTTGAATCAGAGATAGTAGGAACTGCAGATGCTGGAGAATCCGAGACAACAAGGTGCAGGGCTGGATGAACACAGCAGGCCAAGCAGCATCATAGGGGCAGAGAGGCTCCTATGATGCTGCTTGGCCTGCTGTGTTCATTCAGCCCTGCACATTTGAAACTTTTCCTAGTTACCATGAAAGAGATATTCATTGTGTTTCACCTCTCCACAGATGTTGTCTGACATGCTAAGTATTTCTAACATCTTTTGCTTTTATTTCAGATTTCTGTCATCTGCTGTACTTTGCTTTTCTCTGGAACGTGCTTGTATATTCACATGCCAGATGAAAAAACGTTACCAATTAAACTAAAGTCCTGGACTAACAATCCACAAATCTCAAATCCCACTTTGAGAATTTGTGAACTCAATTTAAGAATTTGGAAATGAAGACCGAAAGAGACCACAAAGGTATCCCCCAAAAAATTCAACAAATTCACGAACCTGATTTCCTTATCTGATCTTCAGAGATGCAACTACAATTTCACAGCCTTATACGATTGACTGTTTGCTGCTTTCCCTGAAGTGTCCCAGCAAGCTGCACACGTTTTGAACATTTATTAAGGCACATTACATTCTCAGTGCAAGGAGGCATGGGAAATGAATGCATTGCTATCAATCCCTATAGAACAATAATTAATAATTTACAGTCTAGAACATAGAACAGTACAGCACAATACAGGCTCTTTGGCCCATGATGTTGTGCCGACCTATTATCCTACTGAGATCAATCTACCCTGCATACCCTACATTTTATTATCCTCCATGTGTCTATCCAAGAGTCATTTAAAAGTCTCTAAGTATCCGACTCCACTACCACTGCTGGCAGCACATTCCATGCACCCACCACTCTCTGTGTGAAGACCGACCTCTGACATCTCCCCTATACCTTCCTCCAATCACCTTAAAATTATGCCCCCTCATAATAGTCATTTCTGCCCTGGGAAAAAGTCTCTGACTATCCACTGTATCTATGCCTCTCATCATCTAGTAAACCTCTACCAAGTCACCTCTCATCCTTCTTTGCTCCAATGAGAAAAGCCCTAGCTCCCTTAACATTTCCTCATAAGACCTGCCCTCCAGTCCAGGCAGCATCCTGGTAAATCTCCTCTGCACCCTCTTCCACATCTTTCATATAATGAGGTGAGCAGAACTGAACACAATATTCCAAGTGTGGTCTAACCAGAGTTTTATAGAGCTGCAGCATAACCTCATGGCTCTTAAACTCAATTCCTCTACCAATGAAAGCGAACACACTATACGCCTTCTTTACAACCCTGTGGCATCTAACATGATTTGTTCTTCAAATAGTGATTTCTCAATGAGTTCATGCAGAAATGTTATCACTTCTATTGATCTAAAAACATAAATAAAGTATTAGAAACAGAAACTTTTCTTCGGACAAAATATCTAAAGCACACCGTCCAGTGTTCTGGTCTATCAATAACTTCACTGAAATGTACTGTAATAACTGAATAAACATTTAGAAGTACAGCTCCAACTCGTGTTTTCACTGGGCAGATTGTAGAATTGACCATCTCTGGAAAAATATTTGGTGAAGTGAATTGACATATGAACTTTAAAAAAAAAGAGTAATCTGATTAAAACTAAACCAGCAGTAATTCCACAGGTGGGTGTTTGACTGCCCTGATTCACCACCCATTCATTCTGTCTATGTCATTGCAAAGCCCCAGAATTGAAGTGACCTTAACGTGGGTTGTTTTTGCAGGGATAGTTCAGGCAATCCACTCTTTGCCATTAGCCGAGGTACTGCACGAACTAGGAGCAGGACGCAATCAACCTGAAGAGTCAATCAACCACAGTGTTGGTGTAGAACTTCTGAAAACTGTGGGTAACAAGATTAACAAAGGTAAAGTGTGCTTTATTGTAACCTGCATTCAAAGAAATTCCTGCCTGGGAAGATTGTGTATTATCTTCAACGATATCTGAAACAAACAGAGAATGGAATTAAATTGGGTATGTTACTAAAGAGTTTATGGAGTGAGTAGGAGACTAAATGACTGACGTTAAAGATAATGGGTTGTAAGCAGGTGAGTTGGAATAGATTGGATGGGACACTAAGGAATGTAGAGAGTGAACAAAGAGTGGGATTGAATCAGTTGTATATTTCATAGTCATGGGGGTTGACAGAGCGTGAGATTAGTCTAAATAGGATACTAAAGTTTCTTCACACTCTGGGGACTGGGAATTATAATGTACCTGTTTCACATTTCAGGGGATTCCTGGATTAGGGTCCATTTTGAAGATAGTTCCCTCAGTGAAGCACAGAAGATTCGTCTCCAGAAATCACTGGTCATCGGAGAAAAGTTTGAAGATGTTCCCTTGGTTACTGAGATCATTGGAGCATAGTTGCAGGAACAGAAAAGACACAAATGCACAGTTTAAAAGACAAACAAAGTAAGATATCATGGTAAGGTAAGATGAAAGTCACTGCCCTTGATATCAAGGTCACATTTGACTGAGTACGGCATCAAGGAGCCCAAGCAAAACTGGAAACAATAAGAATGAAGGGAGATACATTCCTCCGGTTGGAGACACTCCTGGCTTGTAGGAAGATGGTTATAATTGTTGGAGGTCAGTCACCTCAGCTCCAGGACATCTCTGCGGGAGTTCCACAGTAACGTCCTAGACCCAACCACAATCAGCTGCTTCACAATGACCATTACAAATTCAAAAATAGGGATGTTCGCTGATGGCTACACAATGTTCAGCACTATTTGTGATGACTCATATACTGAAACAATCCATGTACAAATGCAATAAGATCTGGACAATATCCAGGTTTGGCTGAAAAATGGCAAGTAACATTCATGCCCACTAATGCCAGGAAATAACTATCTAACTGCCACCCCTTGACATTCAATGGCATTATTGTCACTGAATCCCCCCATTATCAATATCCTGGGCAACCATTGACCAGACACTGAACTGGACTCACCATGTAAATGCAGTGGCTATAAGAGCAGGTCAGAGGCTAAAAATACTGTGGAGAGTAATTCACCTCCTAACCCTGCCGAATCCCTGTCCACCAAGGCACAAGTCAGGAGTGTGATGGAATACTGCACACTTGCCTGGATGGGTACAGCTCCAACAACACTCAGCAGGCTGGACTGTATCCAGGAAAAAGCAGCCTGTTTGACTGGGACCACATCCACAAGCATACACTCCCTCCATCACTAATGCTCAGTAGCAGTAGTGTGTACTATCTACAAGATGCACTGCAGAAATTCACCAAAGATCCTCAGACAGCACCTTCCAAACCCATGACTACTTCCATCTAGATAGAAGGACAAGGGCAGCAGCTACATGGGAATAACTGCAAGTTCCCCTCCAAGCGACTCTCATCCTGACTTGGAAATATATTGCCATCCCTTCAGTGTTGCTGGGTCAAAATCCTGGTATTCTCTCCCTAAGGGCATTCCCACACCTGCAGCATGTGGAGTAAAGCAGTTCAAGAAATCAGCTTAATACCACCTTCAGCTTAATACCACCTTTCCAAGGGCAATTATAGCTTGGAAATAAATGTTGGCCAACCAGCCTGTCTCACGAATGAAGAAAAAATTTAATTCAGTGACCAGCAACGTCAGATGCTCTGCCTCCCCAAAACTTCCTAAATTCTCTGCAATGTTTCTTCAAGATCTGTGGGTGATTGGATACTTCATATAATGAGATAAGGAAAACCTGCCAGTGGGTCAGGGGTGTGCAAATCACAGGCCCAGAATCACTACTCTTCAAAACATGTTATATTTGCTGTAAATTATGTCTCAAATACTAGTGGAGAAGCAAAGGAATTTGGAAGTACAGATATATAAATCTTAAAAGCAATGATACAGTTTAATACAGCTGTACAAAAATCATGCCTCGCTTTGGGATTATTTCTAAAATAATTGAATTGGGACGAAGAAAACTCATGTTAAAAGTGTAAAACTTGGGAATTGGAAGTAGATTTGTAGATGGCACCAAACTTGGGGTGTTGTTAATATGGAGAAAGATTACAGCATGTAGAATGGACATGTAATTTTTTTTGTTTCTTTCTCCTTCCCACTTTCTCTGTTTTCATCCTTTTCTTTTTCTCTCTCCTAGCCTTTGGTCTTTCCCTGACTTTGCCAGCTTTATTTAATTTCCCAGGGTCCTCTACAGTTGGCTACACCAGTTCCTTTTGTGCAGCCTGTCCAGAATGCTTTGGCTCTTCCATCGTCACTAAGAGGCTGATTAGTGAGCTGACTTGGAATGCTGCAGACATAAGAGCACTGATGCGATATAATATGTCCATGAATCTCTCTGTACCAACATTTCTTACCAGTTACCATGGTTCTTTACCGTCAGCTTATTGCATCTTGCTTAGTGTTGGACAATAAATGTCTGAAATACCAAGTATTGTGGAAAGTTTTTCCATTTGTGTATTTGAGCTTCATGGCTAGCCTCCTGAACCTCGCTAATAATTCCATGCCAATAGTTATTAGCCCTCTCCCAATAAAGTGTCAGGCTTTCTGAGCTGCAGTGAGCACTCGTCACCAACAAAGCATTTGATTGTATACTGCCTTCTCGTGGAAGAAGATAGAATAAAACTCATATGTAACAAAGAGGAGGTGTGAGTCAAGCCATTAAATAGTGCCCAGGATATTATTTCTTAAAGTACAGGGTTCTTTTAGAACCAAACTGAGATAAAATGGCACTATACAGTTGTAAGGAGTCCTTCCGCTAAAAATCCATAGTTTTACCAGTCCCTAAATAGCAGGAATGTACGGGTTATAGCTGGGGATCATATTAGGACCACAGCATGCTGACCAATATTGGAACATAGAACATAGACATTACAGCGCAGTACAGGCCCTTCGGCCCTCAATGTTGCGCCGACCTGTGAAACCAATCTGAAGCCCATCTAACCTAAACTATTCCATTATCATCCATATGTTTATCCAATGACCATTTAAGTGTCCTCAAATTTGGCGAGTCTACTACTGTTGCAGGCAGGGCATTCCACGCCCTTACTACTCTCTGAGTAAAGAACCTACCTCTGACATCTGTCCTATATCTATCACCCCTCAATTTAAAGCTATGTCCCCTCGTGCTAGCCATCACCATCCGAGGAAAAAGGCTCCCACTGTCCACCCTATCTAATCCTCTGATCATCTTGTATGTCTCTATTAAGTCACCTCTTAACCTTCTTCTCTCTAACGAAAACAGCCTCAAGTCCCTCAGCCTTTCCTCATAAGACCTTCCCTCCATACCAGGCAACATCCTGGTAAATCTCCTCTGCACCCTTTCCAATGCTTCCACATCCTTCCTATAATGCGGTGACCAGAACTGTACACAATACTCCAAGTGCGGCCGCACCAGAGTTTTGTACTGCTGCAACATGACCTCATGGCTCCGAAACTCAATCCCTCTACCAATAAAACCTAACACACTGTACGCCTTCTTAACAACGCTATCAACTTGGGTGGCAACTTTCAGTGATCTATGCACATGGACACCAAGATCTCTTTGCTCATCCACACTACCAAGAATCTTACCATTAGCCCAGTACTGTGTATTCCTGTTACTCCTTCCAAAGTGAATCACCTCACACTTTTCCACATTAAACTCCATTTGCCACCTCTCAGCCCAGCTCTGCAGCTTATCTATGTCCCTCTGTAACCTACAACATCCTTCCTCACTATCCACAACTCCAACGACTTTGGTGTCATCCGCAAATTTACTAACCCATCCTTCTACGCCCTCATCCAGGTCATTTATAAAAATGACAAACAGCAGTGGCCCCAAAACAGATCCTTGAGGTACACCACTCGTAACTGAACTCCAGGATGAACATTTCCCATCAACCACCACCCTCTGTCTTCTTAACAGCTAGCCAATTTCTGATCCAAACCGCTAAATCACCCTCAATCCTATGCCTCCTATTTTCGGCAATAGCCTACCATGGGGAGCATGGAACGATGGCAGGTAACCCTCCCAAACTACTAATAGCTCCTATCAAAAGCACAAGCAAGCTTGGTGCACGAATCCTCCCTGATGTCTCTGCTGCTTTCAAGACTGTTGACCACAGCATTGTCCTCCATTGCATGGCTTGGTGGGATTACCCTCAGTGGTTATACTCTTGAACACAGTCAAAGCAGCTAAACTAATGGCTTATTTCACTACCCCTGCTATCCCACCCCATCCATTAAATCCTTGCTTTATCATCTACAACGTCCTCTAAAAATCTGCCTTTGCCCCTTTTTCCCATCTACATGGCTGCTTCTCAATGAAAAGTGTGGAATCTGCATCTCTCTCTATCTAACAAACCATACTCTTCAATCCACACCACAAATCCTTTCTTGAATTCTGAATCTTAGCATCCTGCTTATCTGCAGACTGAACCTCTGACACCATGTCCACTCTATCACAAAGTCCACTTACTTTGATCACTCACATCTGAGCAATTCCATTCACCCACCACTGACAGCCTCATCTGTAACCGTTCAAATTAACTTTTGATTATTCTTACGTATTGTGCATCCTTAAACCTCACTAAACCACAGTTTATCCGAAGCTCCGTGGCCTGTATCCTGATCTGCGCCAAACCTCATTTGTGAACTTACACTTGGCTCCTGTCACCACATCCAAGTATTCAGAATGTGTCTTTTTATTCCTCGGATCAAAGGTCTTGACAGTGAGAATGGATGTGCACGGCACTTCTGCTTAGAGACCAAGCAGCTGGCTGCATGCTATCACATGTGGCTAACCAATGGGCTATACTGAGGTAAAGGCCTGAGCCAATTATGCAGTGGGGACAGATAGGAAGTCACTGGTTCCACCATTATCTTGTGAAGTTGAAATTGCACATGGACAGGCATCCATTCCTTGCCATTCGGCACAGTCAGTCTGGTTGTATGTAAGGGACCTGAAATTCCTGTATCTACTAGCATTTATACAGCAACAGTGCATGAGGAGATTGAAAGATTTTGAAGGGATTTAATTCTGGCTGGAATCTGGTTTCAATTAAGATGTCTAGGCACTGTCTACTGTGTCACCCCATTGCCTTTGGCCTGCCTTTGTTGACCATTGACTTGTTCCCCATCAACATTGATCAACTATCATTCACCCTAGAGCTACCCCTGTCACACTGGAACAACCTCCTGTAAGGTTTAATAGTTTGATGTACCTGTGTTTGATTGTCCAGAGAAAGGAAGAGCTGCAGATGTTGGAGTCAGAGACAATACAATGTGGAGCTGGAAGAATACAGCAGGTCAGGTAGCATCAGAGGTGCAGGAAAGTTGACATTTCAGGTAAGACCCTTCATTAGGACTGGGGAGGGGGAAGGGAGCTGGGAAGTAAATAGAGGGAGAAGGGGTGGGGCTGAGGGAAGTTGGGTGGGATGGTGATAGATGGATGCAGGTAGAGCATAGTGGGGAGTGGTCAGTGGGATGAGTGGGGCGGATAGGTGGGAGAGAAGATGGACAGGTTGGGTCAGGTCAAGGAAGCGGGGATGAGAGGGAAGGTTGGACATGGGATGAGGCCGGGAGTGGGGAGATTTTAAAACTGGTAAATTCCACGTTTAGGTCATCGGGCTGTAGGCTCCCAAGACGGAATATGAGGTGCTGCTCCTCCAGTTTGTGGGTGGCGTCATTGTGACACTGGAGGAGACCCAGGATGGACATGTCACCAAGGGAGTGGGAGGGGGAGTTAAAATGGTTAGCAACTGGAAGGTGTTGTCGTTTGTTGTGTACAGAGCGCAGATGCTCTACAAAACAATCTCCGAGTCTACACTTGGTCTCACCGATGTAGGGGAGGCCACATCGGGAGCAGTGGCTGCAGTAGACCAAGTTGCCAGATATGCAGGTAAACCCCTGTCTGAAATGAAAGGCTTGTTTCGGGCCTTGAATGGAGGTGAGGGGGGAGGTGTAGGGGCAGGTGTAGCACTTCCTGCGGTTGCAGGGAAAGGTGCTGGTTGTGATGGAGTTAGTGGGGAGTGTGGAGCGGACGAGGGAGTCGCGGAGAGAGCAGTCCCTATGAAAGGCAGATAGGGGTGGGGAGGGAAATATCTCTTTGGTTGTAGAGCTGGATTGTAGGTGGCGGAAGCGACGGAGAATGATACGCTGCATGCGGAGGTTGGTGGGGTGGTAGGTGAGGATCAGGGGGACTATGTCTTTATTTTTGTTGGGGGAGGGGTGTGAGAGCAGAAGTGCGGGAAATGCAAGGGCTGCAGTTGAGGGCATTTTCAACCACCGGAGGGGGTAAGTTACGGTCCCTGATTGTGTTGCTCTGTTCACTGTGGTTAATCATTTTAGAGAACACGTGGAGCTAGACAGTAGAAGTAACTGACATCTCACAGGTGCTAGGTTTTGGGCTGAGAGCATTTGTGTGCAGAAAATCCTGTGATTACCGAGATATTTTGAAGTACTGAAAATTAACCCATTCTAGACTTAAAATTAGTGCCATCTCAGCACGGCTCTGTTCAAATACATGAGATATACAGCAATGTAATATGTAAGATCTCCCATTACCTCAACCCGTTACCCATCATCCTTGACCATCCCTCACTTGTCCTTCAATATTTTTAATTCTCAAAGCCTAATCATTGACCTTCCCAGCTTCCCTCCTGTCCCCCATGAACCTACACAGTGGCTACCTCCCACCTTCCCTTTCAAATCTGGAAAAAAGTTGTGTGTTATGGGCATGCATGACATGTGAATGTGTTAACACTAACTTGAAAGCATTGCAAGGAGTGTAGGGTTGAATTTCAGCAGGGATAGGCAAGATGGAGGAGTGGATGGATAGGTGGCAGTTGAAGTTCAATATGGAGAATTGTGAGGTGATACATTCTGGTAGAAAGAACATGCAGAGACAATATAAAACAAAGGAAGCAACTCTAAAGTAAGACAGAAGTAGAGGCACCTGAGTGATTAAAGTCGCTAGTCATTAAAGCATACTGTATCCTAGGCTTTATTAATAAGGCAATAGAATAAAACTGCAGGGAGGTTATGGTGAAGCTGTTCAGCTTCATCTGTAATAACATATCCAGTTCGAACCATTATACTTTTGAAAGGATGTGAACTCATTGGACAGAGTACAGAATGGTTCCAGGGATGAATAATTACAATTATGGAGAAGCTGGGACTGTTTCCCTTGGAGAATAAAAGGCTGAGAGGAGATCTGATTCAAGTATTGAACATCATGAGAGGTCGAGACAGAGTAAATAGGGAGAAAATGTTCCCACCCTTGAAACAATGGAGAATGAGAAGGCATGGATTAAAAGTAATTAGGAAGAGTGATATGAGGAAAAACTTCTCATGAAATAACTGGTAAGGATTTGCAGGATGGCCTGAAAGTATGGTGGTGGTAGGTTCAATTGAGGCATTCGCATGGGAGTTGAGACTGTTGTTTAAGAA